ATAAACTGTTTTAGCAATAACAATCTTTGGCTAACTTCCTCTGCTTGTTCAGCTGACAACATTACTTCCTTTTTTCTTCTCACCCAAGCGAGCAACAGTCTTTTCATGCACCCTAGGCAAACCTGCTGCATGTAATCCATTGGGAAGTTTGCTACCATGTCAATAGGTGCTTCATAAAAAAGGTGAATTATCATGATGGTGCTCAGTATGTTTTTGATTAAGGAAGGACTCATCGGTGCAAGCTGCAGATCATCAATGTCTTGATATGTCATCTTGCCAATCCATGTGTCTCATTGGTTACCGAAAATCTGCTTGGATGCTTTGACCATTGCTTTGGCTGGTGCATCACAAACAATGCATTGTAATTTTACTATCCATGTTTTGTATTTACCTATATGCCATCACGTAGGAGATGCATTAAATCATGCACTGTATCTGTAAGGAAATCCAAGTTGCTTGTCTTAGAATTTCCAAAAGATAATTCCATAGGAAGTATAGTCTTAGGTACCACATTAACAATGGCACACAGAACTGGCCAAAGTGACTTTTTGGTACTGTAAAAAATTGGTAAACCATCAGTATTGAGAGAAACTTCCGACACAGTATTTTTGTGGATAGGCAAGAATGGCACTTTTCAGTTCTTTGGAGAGTCCAAGGTTGATATAATCCATGCTTGACTTACTTTCTGTGTGAACTTCTCTTGTTTGCCTCATTAAAGTTATTGCTATGCTTGGAAGTTCAGGGTGGGTGGCCATTTTTTCTCAAAAGCTTTAATGAACCATCCACAAAATCGTGCTTGACTTAATACTAGTTAACCAGCATTTGCAGCCCTTCTGGCAATGCCATTTCATCACTAAGGTCTGGGTGATCATTACTCTCAACATCTGATGACAGGGCAACACGATGGTCTATCAAGGTCCATTGATCCTGTACATCATGAAATTCAGGATGATTGAAAACATTTAATGGGTGTAGTTGCACTGCACCACTTGCTCCTGGTTCACCTTATCAATAACCATGATGGTGAAGGTCTATATTTTCAACTGCTTAACCATTACAGTTATGATCTTCAGTTTCAGTAAGTTGTCTATGTCATTTACTGAGAGATCTAGAAGCAGACATCCATTTTCTATTGTAATCTCTATGTCTATTTTTGATTTGTTCCTCATCCATTCTGTAAAATTAAGTGTCAAAATAATGAGCTTATTCTTCTTAATGTTATATGTAGTAGTAGTATTTAATAAATAGGTTGATAATATGAATGTTGGGCTAAGGATTATTCCACAGGTGTTTGTGACTTCTTGGCCATAAATTCAAAAATAAATGAACAGCGCGCACTCCACTTGTTTTCATAATAATAATAATATATATACATATATATATATATTTGAACTAGTTAAAGTATGTACAACAAATTCTTTTCACTATAGAAGTCTTCTTCTTGTCAAAAGTCCACTCAGGCCTATTCAATTGCTTTGCAATTTCAGTTGACAAGCCAAACTACTGTTACGACAGCGGAAGTCACGTGATTCTGACAGCATGCGCACTAAAGTTTCTCGAAGGCAACTCTAGTGTGTTCGAGATGTCCTCTTTCTTAGTATATAAGCCTGGTGAGAAAAATCAGCTGGATTGAAGAGATAGATAATTGAGTCAAGCGAACAGTAGGCACTGTAAGTAAAGTGTGTGAATCACTGTGATTTATACTGTGTGTTATAAAAGTTGTTAAGTTTAGAGTGACGAGGTATGTGCTGACTGTGAAATTACTGTGTATTAAAGTTTGTATCGTGGAATAATAAACTGGGTTAATCAAGAAAGGATTTCTATAGCTGAAGTTTCTCGGAAAGAATTTATATCGGAAATTAACAACAAAGCAGATACGTAACACTACCTTTCCCTATTTCTATCTTAAACACTATCAAGGTATAATTCACTTATTCATTTTGTTCTCTCTCTTTTTTCTTTGATATTTTTGTCACTACAGTATTGGTGTATAATTCACTTAGGCTGGCGTTGAGCTAACACAGTTATATCCTGAACTTCTGATACTCGTCTGCTTTTTCGTATTTAGGCCTACTCCCAAATAATCGTCTACTTTTTGTCAAAGTCCACACAGGGAGGTTCAGTTTCTTTAGAATACCCTTTGACGAAACAAATTATTCTCCTAAAATATCAGAAAATTGTTAATCTCAGTTTAACATATCAACCATTAGGGTATTCACTGCTGTAACAGTTAACTTTACGTTTTCTAATCTTTCTCTGACCGAAACTCTTTTTCACTGCACTTTGCTTTTGGCTATTTTCCCGCTCTGTCTGTCTGCTGTTCCCGCTGGTCTCACACTATTTATATATTTATCACATAATCGTCTGCTCGACTTCTAGAAATCTCCATACCCTCGACATCAAGAAATTTCACGGGACGTTCGATAGCTTCAACATCAATGAATTATAAACACAACTACTATTTTAACTGAGTTACATAACTAAACTTGTTATAACATTTACTTTAAAATAGTTGCTTTTTATTTTCTTGTTATAAAAACTGAACAATCATGAAATATTCATTCACAAAATACATTGATTAATAATACCTACACTAAACGGTCTTTTACATCATGACATTAAGGCACAGTAGAAACTGTAAACATGTTATCTAGGCTTCAATTTGTGTTTCAATTAAAGTTGTGCATACAACTTTGTGAAAACGTTTTCCTCCTTTGTAAATTCTCAAAAGCATAAAGCATGCAAAAGATATATCAGATAATGTTTTCAGTATTTCAAAACATGTAAACTGATAATGGAATTTTTATAAATTATTTATTTCATTAATACATATATATTTACCATTAACGCCTAACAGTCTCACTACGTTCTCATAACATATAATGCATGACCTTGTCAGTTTTACCAACCCACAACTATTCAGCAAGGTTGTAGAAATGTTGTCTTAGCTGGGAGATTATTGTAGCAATAAAGTATTGTTACATCTCTGGTCGTTTGTTAATTACTCGTAAAAATTCTTTCCGAAGAACTTCAGCAATA